CAGTGTGTTCATCGCACTGTCCAGGACACAGGCCAACTTTGACAAAGTTCCTATTGGGTCATATTGTCTGAGGTAGCAATTTCTGTAATTTTTTTTTTTTTTTTTGGTTGCAAAGCAGTTTGGTTATAGTGATATCTTTTTACAAATATTCTTGCCACCTCAAGTATGGGGGTGTTCTTTTGATAGAGTATGTTCTTTTCTTTGGGTAATTATTTCTTATCTACATTTTTTTTAATCCTCCACCAAGGACAGAGAGAGAGAGAGAGAGAGAGAGAGAGAGAGAGAGAGAGAGAGATGAGAGAAACATTGATCAGCTGCCTGCTGTATGTGCCCTGACTGAGGACTGAACCCGCAACCCAGGTATGTACCCTGATGAGGAATTGAACCAGCAACCTTTTGGCACACAGGACGACACTCAACTAACTGAGCTACTCAGGCTGGGTTCTTAGCTATACTTCAAAAAATTAGACTTTTATTACATGACTAATATATAATGGTACAAAATTTCAACAGTACTGAAATAAAGTAAAAAGAGGCTGCTATTCCAACCAACTGCCTATCTATACCTTAATCATTTCCCAAGCATAGACACACAAAGACATATGAAAACATAAATCCTCTTTATATAAAAAATGAAACTGGCTCATGATATACATACTGTTCTATTTGTATTATTTGCTTTCTCTACAGGGACATGTTTTAAAGTCGATTACTTTTAGCCCGTCCAGTGGTGCTCAGTGGTTGAGCATCAACCCAGGAACCAAGAGGTCACCAGTTCCATTCCTGGTCAGGGCCCATGCCCCGGTTGCTGGCTTGATCCACAGTCGGGGGCGTGCAGGAAGCAGCCAATCCATGTCTCTCTCTCTCATCGATGTTTCTATCTCTCCCTTCCTCTCTCTCTAAAATCAATAAAAACATATTAAAAACAAAACATAAAATCAGCTACTAAAACTTTAAAATTAAATTACTTTTAAATTATTTTTTACTTTTTATCAGTTGTCTATGATATAATTTAAATAGTACTTAAAGGTTTAATATAAATAGCAGCTCTTGCTCCTCTTCTACCTATTCCACATTCTTCAGTCCCTTTGTCCTTTTTGCTGTTTCTTTTTACATTTACCTTTCTAAGCAATGTTTCTAGTACTTTGTCTTGACTTATCAAGACATACAAGATGAGTATTTGGCTCTCTTAACCTCCCTCCCAAACCAACCACTAGAGTTGTTAGCACCATGTTTGGATAAGCACCATGATTGTCATGTTTCCATTATAATTATGTAAATATTCTTTAAGATTTAGAGAGAGAGAGAGAGAGAGAGAGAGAGAGAGAGATTTGTTTCACTTATCTATGCATTCATTGATTGATTTTTGTATGTGCCCTGACTGGGGATCAAACCCAGAACCTAGGTGGATCAGGATGATGCTCTAACCAACTCAGCTACCTGGTCAAGGCAATTCTGTAAACATTTTTAACTGCAAAGCCATGTATTATGCTCTGATTATGATTCTCTTCTTGAAAAGCATTTCCTTTTCTCCTGAATATTATAATAATCTTGAGTTTTTATTGCTTATGATAGTGTGATGATAGTTTTCTTTCTATCATTGGCTAAACAACCCACTCCAATGGCCTCCAAATATATCATTCCACATTTGACAAACCTATACATAAGCCCACAATTCTAACTTTTCCCCATGGAATCGTGCTCCTGGAGCCCTCCATCTGTGGCTCCACTCTGGAAAGAATCTTCCTGGGACTCCTTCTCTCCTTATCTTGGGCATAACTTTCATCTCTCTCCTATGTTGGATCTCCTATTTTCTGTATCCCATGACTTCCTAATTTTGTATCTATGCTCCCATACTTCCTTTATTCTGTTAATATGGTGGATTGTAGTAATTAACTTTTAATGTTAAACCCACCTGCATTCTGAGATAAATAACATGGTCATATTATTTTTACGCTCTTTATATATGCTGGATTCAATTAGCTAATAGGTTAATAATTTTTGCATCTATGTTAATAATGTATATTGATATCTTATTTTCTTTTCTTAGAATGTCTTTGGCGCATTTTGGTATTTTAGTAACACTGTTCTCATAAAAAATAAAAATAAAAATGGTACTACTACTTTGTTATAAAAAAATAAGTTAAATAAAAAAGATGAGCCCTAGCTGGTGTGGCATCATTGGTTGAGCGTCGTCCCATGCACCAAGAGGTTGCTGGTTTGATTCCCCATCAGGGCACATGCTCACCACCTTCCACAACCACATCAAAATTACAACTAAAATGCAGAACAACCATCATTTAGAACTGCCTGAAATCTGGTTGAATGGAAGTCCTACAACTAGAGAAGTAAAGAAAGTACATCGAGACTGGTAGGTGGGGTGGAGGCATAGAATGGGATGGCCCAACACCCACATGTGGTGTTTGTTTATTTTTTTCAATCCAAGGGATATCTCGGCTACAGAGGCCTCCTGTGAGAAGCAAGGGGTCCCAGACCCCCAGCTCAGGGTTCCAGAGCTGGGAAGAGAAGCCCCTGTAACTTCAGGCTGTAAAATCCAGCAGGGATTATGGCTGAGTGACATGGAGGTGGCTGGAGTCTAGGCAGTTCTTACATGGTTCCCCTTCCTCTGAGCTCCAGCGCTGGGTGGCAACTTTGGGGGAATCCAGGGACATACAGGGAGGAACTGGATTGTCTGGCATCAGGGCAGGAACTCAGGGGCAGCTTTCTCCGAGATGGAAGTGTTCACAGGGGTCATTGTTCCTGTGCTGGGACCTCCACTGTTGCAGAGCTGACCGGCAGCCATATCTGAGTTTCTATCAGTGTGGCCCACACTGTTCCTCCACCCTGGTGATTCCCTGAGACCCCACCCCACCCAATTTGCAGCTCTATCCAGCTGTTTGCAGATATGAATGGCCTGTCCTAGCTCAGGCTTCAGACTTTTCTAAAATCTCTCAAACAAGCATCAGCTGGCATCAGCATACCCCATACCTATCAATAAGAGGCCCAAGACTGGCACTAGCACCAGCCTGCCTTGCTTCACAGCTTGGCCTCTCCTGGGAACTTCCACACCCAACATAAGTAACAGCCATCTTCAGATCACTCTGTAGCTCCTGCTGGGTGGTTCCAGGCAGTGGTTGAGTTTGCACCTCCCGGGAGGCCCCAGAGCCAGTGCACCCAGGGGATAGCTTCAGACCACACCAGATTACAACTCTACACATCTACAAGTGACACACTCAAGGGGCAGACTCAGACTCAGTGAGCAACAAAGCAAGTCCTGCTCCATAGCGGTGTCTCCTGCACAGCAGTTCTTCTACTGTAGTCTCAGCTGGTTCTCACAGCCAGTTGGCCTAAAGGTCAAGTCCTCCCAGTGCTGCCAATAACAATCAGGGCTCAAATACAAGACTGTGCACACAGCCCACACAGGCGTGCACCTAGAGTGCGCAGTTCAGGTGACTGGAGAGGCTTGGCCACTGGGCCCAACAAGATACCTACTACACAAGGCATCTCTATCAATTCCAGGAGACATAGCCTCTCTACCTAATATATAGAAACAAACACAGGGAAGCAGCCAAAATGCAGAGACAAAGAAACATGTCACAAATGAAAGAAATGGAAGCAAGCAAACTACTGGATACAGAGTTCAAAACCATGGTTATCAGGGTACTCAAGGATCTTCATGAAAATTTCAAGGATCTTAATGAGAATGTCAAAGGCATGAAAAAGGACCAGTCAGAAATTAAGCATACACTAACTGAAATAAAGAATAGTTTACAGGGATTCTTTTGTAGAGTAGAGGATGCCGAGAATGAAATCAGCAATTTGGAATATAAGAAAGCAAAAAACACCCAATTAGAAGAGCAAAAAGAAAATGGAATCCAAAAATCTGAAGATAGTGTAAGGAGCTCTGGGACAACTTCAAGCGTACCAACATTCTCACTATGGGGGTGCCAGAAGAAGAGAGAGAGCAAGATATTAAAAACCTATTTGAGAAATAATGACAGAAAACTTCCCCTACCAGTGAAAGAAATAGACTTATAAGTCCAGGAAGCCCAGAGAGACCCAAACAAGAGGAACCCAAAGAGGCCCACACCAAGACACATCATAATGAAAATGCCAAAGGTTAAAGATAGAGAGAATCTTAAAAGCAGCAAGAGAAAAGCAGTTAGCTACCTACAAGGGTGCGCCCATCTGACTGTCAGCTGACTTCTCAACAGAAACTTCGTAGGCCAGAAGGGAGTGGCAAGAAATATTCAAAGTGATGAATACCAAGGACCTACAAAACCAAGATTAGTCTACTTAGCAAAGCTATCTTTTAGAATTGAAGGTCAGATAAAGAGCTTCACAGACAAGAAAAAGCTAAAGGAGTTCATCACCACAAAACCAGTATTACATGAAATGTTTAAGGGTATTCTTTAAAAAGAGGAAGAAAGAAGAAGGAAAAGAAGGAGGAGGAGGAGGATGACAGGGAAGAGGAGGAGGAAGAGGAAGGAAAAGGAGGAGGAGGAGAAGGGAGAGAAGGAGTAGAAGGAATAGGAAAAGGAGGAGGAGGAGGGCGGAGAGGAGGAGAAAGAGAAGGAGTAGGATGAAAAATATGAACAATAAAATGGCAACACATATCCTATCAACAATTGAATCTAAAAATCAAAATAAATGAAGAAATCTAATGAACAAAATAAACTGAATAAATTAGAATTAGAGGCATGGAAACATGGAATAGACTGACGAATCTCAGAGGGAAGGGGGGCAGGAAGGGGTCAGGAAGAGATTAACCAAAGATCTTATATGTATATATGCATTACCTATGGACACAGATAAAAGGGTGGTGAAGGCCTGGGGCAGGGTGGGAGCCAGGTGGAGGGGGAAAAAAAATAGGGGACATCTAGAATACTCTCAATAATAAAGATTAAAAAATAATAATTTTTAAAAAAAGATGAAACACTGCCATTTGCAACAGGTGTTATGCTAAGTGAAATAAGTTAGATGTAAAAGGACAAAAATTAGCACTCGCTTCGGCAGCACATACACTAAAACTGGGACGATACAGAGATTGGCATGGCCCTGTGCAAGGATGACACGCAAATTCGTGAAGTGTTTCATATTTAAAAGAAAAAAAAAAGGACAAAAATCATATGTGGACTATTAAAAAAAGAAACAAACAAAAAACAAAAAAACCCTCATAGATATGGATAACTGATTGGTGGTTACCAGAGAAGAGGAAATGGGTAAAGGGAGCCAACTGTATGGTAACGGATGGACATGATACATTTTTTTTTTTTTTACTTCAAAACCAGGCCCTTTATTGTTGGGTTCAGGCACACTGTGAAGTGCCAGAGGAAAGTGGGTCAGCGGGAGACAGGAGAAGGGCTACAGGCAGTGTCAACCATTTTCCTAAGGGGAGGAGAATCGGCCACAGAACAGAATACCATTGGTTTTGCTGTGGTGAATAAAGAAAAGAAAGGGGTGGTCAGCACAGAACCTGGGCGTGATTCTCGCACATCGAAGGAGGATGATGCCGGCGGTGGCGGCCGCAGCCTCTGTGCCTTCCTCGTTGACCTCCACAAAGGACTTGTGAATGACCTTGGACAGACACAGGTCTCTCCCTGACGACATTCCAGAGAAGTCTGCCTTGTCCTGCTCAAAGGCATCGGTCATGCCCATAGAGTAAAGGACATCCTTCATGTCGTAATTCTCCTCAGTTGAAATATAGGGAGGAACACTTCCACCTCTTCTTCATCCATCATATCTGGCCTGGTCCATTCTATGAATTTCTCATAGGTGAGCTGCTTTTCCACCGTTTCCAGGTCGACATGTTCATCGGGAAGCATGATGATCATGTTTAGCTCTTTGCCGACGTACAGCAGCACCAGAATTTTGGTGAATATTTCTCCGACATAGGTCATATAAAAGGTAGATTTTTTAAACATCATTTGCACAGGTTTCTGCTCATTCTTGCTAACTTTAAATGGTCTCTCCTGGGTTTGGTGCTTGCTAAACTGGCTGTCCCAGTTTCCTTTGAAGTAGATGGCATTCACAAGAACCAGAGGAGTACTTTGATTAACTGAATTTGGAGGCAGCAACTCTGTAATTTTACCTTCTGTCTTGTTAGCTACCCAGGTGTTGATATGTTTTCTAGCCTCCTCTGCAGCTTTGAAGAAGTCAAGCTCTTCCATCTCTGCTTGGTAGAATTTGAGGCAGGAATCTTTGAAAGATAAGTTGAAATCAAAGGACTTTTCTCCGAAGAGCCTGTTGGCAGTTCTAAGCAAGTACTGCGTGCCAGCCCTGTTAACCTCGGCGAGGAGCGTCTGGAAGCCCTGGTGGACATCTTCACTTCCGCCACCACTTTTACTGAAATAAAGTGCCTGGACTATCTGGGCCACAGTGTCTCCACCTGCCCCCATGGCCAGGGCAGAGGAGATGCTGAAGGGCGAGAAAAACATGTTTTTTGATTTGTCTTCACCCAGCTTTTTCAAAAGGTTTTTTTCAAAAAGTGTCATTTGCTTCGGACAGAGTATCCATGATGGCGAGTCGGCCTCCCGGGGGTTCTCGGACTGGAGTGTCGGCGCCTGGGGAACGGAGCAGCAGCAGGAAGCGGAGCAGCCGCTGGGCCTCAAATAGCGGCAGCCGACATGATACCTTTTTTTTTAAAACTTATTTTATTGATTTTTTACAGAGAGGAAGAGAGGAATAGAGTTAGAAACATTGATCAGCTGCCTCCTGCACACCCCCCACTGGGAATGTGCCCGCAACTAAGGTGCATGCCCTTGACCGGAATCAAACCTGGGACCCTTCAGTCCACAGGCCGACGCTCTATCCACTGAGCCAAACCAGTTAGGGCGACATGATACTTTTGATGGTGAGCATGCTATAGTATAGATATCATGTATAATATTGTACACTTGAAACTTATATGTTATAAACCAATGTTACCTCAATTGTAAAAAAAGATTGAGAAGTATTCCCTTTTCCGTTTTCTAAAAGTCTGTGTAGAATTAAAGCTTTTTCTTCCTTAAATCTATGTTAGAACTCACCGATGAAGCCATCTGAACCTTAGAGTTTTCTTTTGTAGAAAGATTTTTGATAATACATTTCTTTGATATAAAGCTATTCAGATTTTCTATTTCATCTATATCAGTTTTAGTAGGCTATATTTTTCAAGGAATTCATTGACTTCATGTAATTTATTGGTTTAAAGTCGTCCATAATATTCCATATTATCCTTTTAATGTCTGTAAGATCTATAACAACATCCCCCATTTCATTTCTGATAGGGATAATTTGTGTTTTCTCTTTTCATCCAGTTTTGCTAGAAGTTTGACTTAATCTTCTCAAAGAACCAACTTTTGGCTTTGTTAACACATGGTGGACCAGTAGTTTTATTGCTAGCTTTACCTAGTGGCCAGATAAGTTTCTTTTGAATGAGTACAAAAAAACATCCTATATAATAAAAGGGCAATATGCAAATTGACCCTAACAGCAGAACGACTGGGAATGACTGGTCACTATGACACACACTGACCACTAGGGGGCAGGCGCTCAATGCAGGAGCTGCCCCCTGGTGGTCAGTGTGCTCCCACAGGGGGAGCTCTGCTCAGCCACAAGCCAGGCTGATGGCTGCCAGCACAGCAGTGGTGGCGGGAGCCTCTCCCGCCTCCTCAGCAGCACTAAGGATGTTCGACTGCAGCTTAGGTCTGCTCCCTGCTGGTAAGTGGACATCCCCCAAGGGCTGCCAGGCTGCCAGGGAGATGTCTGACTGCCAGCTTGGGCCCGATCCCCCAGAGAGCGGGCCTAAGCCAGAAGGTGGACATCCTCCGAGGGGACCCACACTGCAAGAGGGCATAGGCTGGGCTGAGGGACCTCCCCAAGTGCATAAATTTTTGTGCACCGGACCTCTAGTTTTACATAAATGTTAAAGGCACCCTTTAAAATTAAACACCCATTGCATTTTGAAGTTATTTATTACATGTTCTTACAAGCTAATATCTTTTTAAAGTATACTTTGTAAAACACTGTGTAATATGAAGCGAAAATTCTCGTGATCCATCCGCAATGTGTTAACTCTGATTTTTGCTCTTTTAATATTTCCTTTCTTCTACTTACTTTGGATTTAATTTGTTTATATTTCCCTTGCTTCTTTTTCCTTTCAAATATATAAATATATCGGGGAGCCCCGGCTGGCACCTACCTTGGCTGGCCTAGGGCCTACAGGCTGGGGGCAGCTCCTGCATTGAGTGTCTGCCCCCTGGTGATCAGTGCATGTCATAGCGACAGTCTGATCAAGTGGCGTATTAAGCTTTTATTATATAGAATTTCTATGGTTATTCAAACTTTAAAGAAATTCCTAAATCTTTTTTAGTGAACATTTTTTAGGAGAATCAGTAAAGTTTACCCAGAAGGAAAGTATGCATATAAATCTAGAGTGATGATAAGGATGTTGAAAGTCTAACATTGCTGTTACATAACTCTTGGATTTTTCATTCCATCCCAAGCTGGGTGTGTGTTTATTCTAAGGATGCTTAGATTTTAAAAATCCTCAGTTCCTGTTTTGGATACTATGTTATAATTACAAGTGACTCATTCATCCATACTCAAGTTTCTGGATGCAAATAAAAGTATGACTTCAGTTAATTTTAATGCTTTGACTGCATACACTGTCAAGATGGAATCTTCTTGTTACTAAGTATTTCAATTAATGTAATGAATAATTTTTCTTTAGTTACTGCTTACACTATCTTTTTATATTTACCTTTGGAAATCTAACACTCCACCCCCTTTTCATAATTCATTTTGAGTCCTAATTTTTAAATACCAAAAGTGTTACTGCATATGTATTTTATTTTCTTTATCCTTATTGTGGATAGTACCAAAAATCATGTCCATCATGATACCAACGAACACAATCTGTTGGTATATTTTATAAAACTCCTTTAAGAGAGTTTTTTTAAAAAGGAATGATTGTGATATGAATTTTTCAAAATCAATCCAAGTCAAGATATACCTAGTTAAATATACATACAACCAAATGAATGTCTGTATATTTTAGAGAGCATAATAAAATATTTTTCCTAATTCATCTTTGAAATCATAAGTAACAATGGCATTATCAAATTAAGTCAGCTAGCCCTGGCAGGTGTGGCTCTGTGGTTGGAGCGTCAGCCCATGCACCAAAGGGTCTCAATTCCTGGTGAAGGGCACATACCTGGTGAAGGGCACATACAGGTTGATCCCAGCTGGTTGTGGTCTGGGCACATTCCAGAGGCAACCAATCAATGTGTCTCCCACATAGATGTTTCTCTCTCTCTCTCTCTCTTCTCTTTCCTCTCTCTCTCTCTCCCCCTCCCTCCCTGCTTCCCTTTAAAAAAAAAATCAATGGAAAAAAATATCTTTGAATGAAGATTATCAACAACACCAAAAAGAAACCAATTAAGTCAGCTAGTAGGAAACAATTGAATACATTTTACATTAGCACCAGGTTAGTTGGGGGGCGGGGGAGGGGGTTGTGGGGAGTGGGGAGGCTTTTGATTTTTAAATGTCAAATGGAAAGCTACTTAAGTTCATGAGTCAAGAGATGATATAATTCAATGGAATGAAAGATAACTTTTGCTTCTAACAATTTTCTCTTTAAAAAATAAGTAAAATTTAAAAAATCATCTCATTTCAATATATATTTTTTAAAACCCAACGTTTTGCCATAAGACAAATTTATATAATTAAACACTTCAAAACATAATATGGCATGTATTATTTTTTCACAGGGCATCAGCTACTAATATATATAGATCACTTTATTAAAACAATAGAAATCGTATGAAAATCAGCACAATACTTCATTTATTTATTGTATAAGTTTGGCAAACAGCACAAAAATCCAGCAACATTTTGAACACGTAAAAAAGTCAAATGTTGAACAGTACCGGGGGAATTTTTTTTTTTTACATAATTACTAATGAGACATCAAAGATTCTGCAAAGCTAGCAAACTGAGGGTGCTTGGCTTCTGAACATATACCACAAAAACACATCAAAAAACAATATAATTTACCTTTACAAAAATTACAGCCAAGCAATAGGAAAGAAGGATGCTAATAATGAAGATACGAACACATA